ACACAATAGCTCATTCAGGCATAAGGAAATTAAAGTAATACCGGAACTATCAATCCACTGCCATCAGACAAAAATGTTTGAGAGGACAGCAGGGGTAATGGCTCCTAATACACCAGCGGTCTCATCTCTCTGTCGCTGGGCCTCGGATGCCTGCTGCTCTTATCTTAACAGGCACATCATCTACTGGACAATTGCTGCATCCAATTGTGGCTCAGGGCCTGAAAGTTTCTTCCAGAACTTGCTGCTGCCACTATCGCTGCCAATAACAAAGCTGCACACCCCGCCCCGAGTGCTCCTTTGTAATATGTCAAGTGAACACCTAAATCATATGGATATTTGGAATTTTAAAAAAAAGGATCTGTAAAACGACTGGGATGGTGGGGGAAATGGCCTTTGACATTAACTGGACCCAGAGAGCCGAGGGAGGAGGTGACACCAGAGCAAGGAGTAATTTGTCTTTCTTGTCATCTCCTTACTGGAGCTTAAAATATTGTTTATAGCTCTCGCCAACCAACGCACTCCTCAACTTTGATTGATGTATGAGGCGTCGCCATGGCAACCAGCATGTGGGAACGATAAGTGACTTTGGCAGGAGAGTATCTCCTTCTGGATTATTAAGACCACCTAAGGGCTGTGTGAGCGTTTGCCTCTTTGTATATACATGCATGCAATGACGAGTTGTTCTTGGCTAAACACTCTCGCCGGCTGTTGCCTCCCACTCGAAGGGTTAATCAGGTTGGAAAGTATCATGATTGAGCAGCTGACAAAAATACATAGAGTGCCGCAGGTATGGAGTTTAACCAGTACCAGTGGAGGGCCTGTACACTGTCGTCTTGAGCTTATAGTTTGTGATGCATTGTGACAAGCGAGTGATGGAAAGCACTGTGAGAAATGAAGAGAGAGAGAGAGAGAGACGCAACCGAGTGAGAGAATCAGAGGGAGAAAAATTTGTTAAGTTATGCTTGCCAACAGCAGCTGTTTAAATGCAATTAGGTCCCACCAAGATACAAAATGACTCCAGAATTTGGTGACTGGTTAGTATGACTCAGTAATGGAAAGACCTGTCACATCTTGAGCTCAGCCCTTTCATTTTCACAGTGCAGAGCTTCCATTTTTTACCCTCAAAGCACAAACGTCAGCTTACTGGATCCTACACTTTAGCACTTAAACCCAGTTGGTTCCAGAAGGCACAAATGATGTCTTTGTATGCAGTATCCAGTAGAACCACTACGCCCTCTACTGGCAAAAAGACGAAATGCAGGTTGTCGGGGAAATGTTCTAGTGCTGGCAATGGAGTAAATAATTGTGTATAAGCTCCCATGTTGCCTTAATTAACACACAAACTGAGATGGTATCACAAACAAGCCAAAAACTGGAAGATACAACATGCAAATTTGTTTGTTCTCTTTATTATTATTCCAACTGCTGAATCCCAAAGAAAAAATCTGCAAATTCATTTGCAAGGTACAGCAATATGAACTGGCATACCAGGACTGAACATAATAGGATTATTGTTGAGAGACTCTGTGTGCAACATGATTCACCTGTAATTGCTTTACACTTGTCCCACACTGTTAACCAAACTGCACCTTTTCTAGGGCGACTGTGCTCTGTGGCACTTCGAACAGAACTGCAAAAGCTAATTTGAATTTGCTATTGAAAGACATTATTCCTGTACTGAACAAATTAACTAACAAATGTGTCAGTAAAAAAGAAGTGCTTCAGGAGGTATTTAGAGGCTTTCACTTTCTTAAATATTGTATCTCTCTTTTGAGAACTTGACTCCTTTGCTGCAGGAAAATTGGCATTGCATTATTTGATTGTGAAAAACGAAGAGAAATGTTACTTTTGTTATTTTTGACACCGCTGTGGTAATCCATTTATTATGTAAAATTATAAATCATTTATCCTGAGCATGTATATCCGGCAGCGGTGTCCAATTTATCTGCAGTGCAGCCCACACAAAGTGTGCCTGTGGCATAGTTTATGTAAATAGAGCATGTAAACTGCAGGAAGGGCAGTGGAGAGATGACAACGCAGCCCACTGTAGCTGATAAATCACTTCCCTGCTGTTCCCAAGTGCATTTGTTTGCATTTTGTAGTGGTGCTGCTTCACAACTGCTGCCTAGGTTAATGTGTTTTGAATGAAAGAAAGGTAATTTTGATGTAATGAGTGTTGGAGGCAGAAATGCTCACATAGCTTGACAAAGGCGAGCTAAATCACACATAACATATACTTGCTGACATGGTAAATGGACCTGTACTTGTATAGCGCCTTTCTAGTCTTCCGACCACTCAAAGCGCTTTCACACTACACTACGTGCCAAGTCCATCAAACAGAAACTAACATTCATACACTGATGCACAGCAATTTGGGGTTCAGTAAAGGATACTTTGACATGTGGCACCAGGAGCCGGGGATTGAACCCACAACCTTCCAATTAAGGAACGACCCACTCTGCCTCTGAGCCACAGCCGCCACAGCTGCCTGCCATGACCACAGACACATTCATACTACTGTATGTATGTATGTGTCTCTTCCTGTAGATGATCATCCCTCTGTAAACACTGATCTATAGTTTTGTCTAAGTAGTCAGTTTTTGCCCAGTGGAGCCTTGTTAACAACATTGCAAAATATTCTGGGAACCAGTGGATGAATTAAAAGCAGCTGCCTGCAAGACACCGAAAGACAGATGGCAAAGAAACAGAAAAACAGGCAAATAGTGGCATAGACAGGTAGACAGAGAGCCACAGACAGTAACAGACACATGTTCCACTATGAGTCAACTATGGGCTCAGGATGAAAGATCTGTCCACGTCACAAACTGCAGACTGCAGACTGCACACTCCAAACACTCTGTGGACCAGCTGAACCTCTAACCTTGGCTTCATTCAGCAAACACACACACCACACACTCACATGCACACACACCCTCTTTCTCTCTCTGTGTGAAAGCATTAGGCGCTGGCTGTCAATCAGTGTAGAACTGCTACCATTATAGTGTGTGTGTGCTAACAAAAGCACGCAAATGCTTATTGTGTATATAGTATGCACGATGGAATATGCAGGTTTATGTCCCATAATGATGATGCACACAGGCATGCATGTATAACTCATACTGATATGATTTAAGTTTGTGTCACATTGTGCCAGGACTGGAACATAAACTCCCTGTTCCCAAGAGCAACTGATGGGCGGCTACCATCATGAGTTTACCGAGCTTGTCATCCTGCAGGAGCTGGAGCCCTTCAGTGATAAATTAGATTCAATCTTTCCATATTAAAAGCATATTATCAGTGCATCAGGCATATTAAAATGAGGAGATTTATAATGCATCACATTCTACTTGCAATGTATTATTTCATTGTTGTTAAACAGAAATTCTCCACCAAGGTAGAAGACAAAAAGTTTTGCTAATACTGCAGAGATGACCAGGATCTCATGACTCCTTAGATTTAACTTCCTTTGGGGGGGGGGAACTAAACTCCTTAACTGTATATAAAATAGTTAAAACTAACTCCACCTTCACCGGCTACAAATTCTGTCACACCAGCTGCTGATGCATCACTATTAATCTAATAATGTGTAAGTAACCAAGGCCATTTTTCTGCAGTAGGAGTACTTTTACTTTCTGTTAGGGTTTGACAAAACAAACAGGTTTCAGAGGTAAATCAGTTCCTTTTTACTGAAGCAAGGTTCCGTACGCAGTTAATCCACAAAAAAGGCAAACAAGGCCCAAATGGCTAGTCAAACAGCAGGCAGAAATCCAGAAAACCAAAGTACATTAACAGGAGAAATACTGCCGGTACGCTTGACTAAGCAGACAAAGACGAACTGGCACAGGAGGGAAGAAAACACAGAGACTATACAGTGAGCAGGTGCAAGGTAATAAGATGCAGGTGCAGGTGATTGAGGGCGGAGCAAACAATTACCATTGGCTGGTAACACACAAGGAAAGGAAGTGAGAAGATCAGAAACAAGAGGGAAAAAATAAAGCAAAATAAAACAGGAAACACAAAGAACTTAAAAATAACCTACAATGACTGAATCATAAAACTTCTCACTCATTCTGTACTTTACTTTTACTTTAAGAATGTACGCTATTTGCTTGAAATGGAGAATTTTACTTTAAGGGTAACTTTGCATAAATTCTTTTTTTAGACACTTATAATCACAATCTGAGCAGCAAAAACAAGGACTTCTAGCGTATATAACTCGATGGTGTACAATTACCCGGAAGGATTATGTTGCAGAAGTTTGCAGGTGCAGTGCTCTCACTCAATACTGGACCAGTTTAAAATATTGTTGTCCTCATTAGTCACTTAGACACAAAAACATGGGAAAATAGGGTCTAGGTTGATAAATACTGAAGTTACCCTCTAATTAAGTTAAAGATATGAATACTTCTTCCTATATCAACTGAGCACTTATGCTGGAGGAGGTCTGGCCATTCAAAACAATGAAACCTGCTAAAAACTGCACTGTTGATGAGCAGGTCAGTAGGATTATCAACATTAGCAGTGAATAACTTGGTTCAAGGTAAGAAATATCCAAAATATTGCATAATGGAGCTTTACATATAGCATTTATGTAGAAACTGGATAGTACTGTGATTCTATTTGTAATAATGAGAGCTAAACACGTCAAATTGTACATGATTCTCCTCCTGGTTGCTCTCAATCGGCCATCTTGTCCTGTTGGAGTGGAGCTGAAAATAATTTGTTTTAGGCAGTAAAGGAGTTCAGATGTTCTATGAAAGTGGTTCATGATGTAAAATGCACTCAGTGGAAACAAAGGTCAAAGTATAAACCAATATGACACCATTAAAAACCACCAAACCAGGTGCCTGGTTAGCTCAGTGGGTAGACCCACGCACTGAGTCCTCACTGCAGCAGCCCAGGGTTCAAATCTGACCTACAGCCCTTTGATGTGTGTCATCCCCTCTCTCTGTCTATCTACAGCTGTCTCTATCATAAAGGCAATAAAAAAAAACACAAAGTACTGTAATACTTTTAATTATGACTTTACACTTTTATACAAAAATTACTTTGATACAGATGTTTTCTGACCGCTGGATCAGAATTCAGTTACAAAATCAAAAGTCTAGAAAGAAGTTCAGCTCTTAAAGCATATAGGCAGCGGGCAGGAAATTCCAGTTTAGAATCCTTTATACGTATTTCTATTCCTTTTATTATCTTGGTCCTCTGAGTAATACACAAATACATACACACACACACACACACACACACACACACACACACACACACACACACACACACACACACACAAATACACATATATATCTGGTCCCTTTTTCCTTTCAGGCCGATTTTGCTGTCTTTATTTTACAATTCATAGTCCTTGTGATATGATATTAGCGTTCCCTGTAGAGTACAGCCTTGGATGGGTTTTCTATTTCTTTGCAGTGGGTAATTTCCATTTTTGCCACAAGAAATTATACTTGAAGCTTCATCCAGTCCTGTTGATGTCTATCCAAGGCCACCAGGCCACCCGCCCCAACAAATTTATAGTATGCAGTCGAATAAAATTTAAGGGGCATATTAGTGTCATTAACTGTCTTAATACTTTACATTGCACCTTTTTATCCCCTTTTTGAAATACGCATTTTCCCTTTATTTCCTACCTGAAATGTTTTGTCAAATCAAAAAAGACACTGAATATATATCATTTGGTGTGCATAGATATCAGTAAAGTGCAAATAGTGTTTGGTTAATAAAGCTTTACAATGTGATTTCCCTGTTTATGTACGACTTGATCCAGTCTTTGTTGCATGTAGAAGAAAACAAATCAAGTCAGTCACTGCTGTTTGTATTAAAGTCCCGATCTGTTTATGGAAGTCCATCTCTGGTATCAGTTCTGCTTCATCTACATGATTTTCCAGTTTGCTCCTCCGTCAAACATTTCTGACGAACCCATTGCAAACGATGCATCCACTGGAATATCGTTCTCTCCCAGCTGCTTGGTTGTACTTCCTCTGCCACTCTGGTGGGGGGCAGTGTTTCTGTTGCGCTCTACTTCTCATCCACCACAAAGATTTCTTCAGGGATCTTCTCCTCTGAGTCAGAGCGATCTGACAGCTTGTCCAGGTACTCCATGTCGTAGAATCGCTCGGCAACACACTGGGCTGTCAGACGGGCCTCGGGGTCGTGGTCCCAGCAATCGTCTATGGCGGCGCACACCATCTGGATGCCCTGCAGGGGGAGTGGTGGAGCACAGATATAATCAGTCAATAATACTGACTTGGGGGCCGGTCTGACTGTGACAGCATATCATCACCTCAAGCTGAAACTATGAATGTTCATGTGTGTTTATGAGTTTCCATCTGTGTGTTTATTTGTATGTTGATCTGTTTGTGTGTAGCAGTGTGTTTTCTACCACATAATACATCAGAATTATACACTCAGTTGCCAGTTAATTAGGTACACCTAGCTAAAACTAATGCAGTCTAATACATCTAATGTATTGCATGATACGGACAAGTTTTGTTTTCTGTATTATTATCTCCATGTGTTGATCAGTATAATGGTGTAAAACCATTGGCAGGAATGCATATCACGTCACCCTCCACAGGGTACTTTTAACAGAAAATAGCTACTGCTCTCGGATAATCATCATATTTACTGTATCTTTCCTTACTAAAACAATGATAACCACCATGTTTTTGTATATTAGACTACCACATATTGTAACGATTTAACACAGCAAATGTTTTGACACAGCAAATGTTTTGACACAGCAAATGCAGACAGAAGCTTAAGGCGCAAGCGCATTCGGGTGTTGCCAATTAACTTTTGAAACTTTAATGTGTGTCATGACGTCACGAAACAGGTCAATGTCCAAAAAAATCCCCAATTTAGGCCAAATTAAATGAGCAATCTACCTATGTTTACCCCTTTGCTGGCCTTACACCAGTGTGAAAATAGACACAATTATTTTCAACTGCAAGAACTTTCCCAGGAGACAAAGAAGCTTGACTGGCAGAACTAGGAATTAAATTTAGCTCCTGTACAATAGTTACAGGTCCCTGCTCTGAGAGTTGTACTTTCTAATGGTTCAGGAACTTTCAGGGTGTAGTTTTCAGGGCTGAACATCACTGATTGGTCGAACACACACAGCGGCTGTTACAACTTGTGTACAGCTTCTTTTATTGGATGACATTGGCATCACTATTGGGACATTGGATCGACATTTCTTATTAATGTTAAAAACAAAGTTCTGTTTTCAGCTCGCTGACTGGTTATAAAAAGACAAAGAGAGAGAGTACGTTCAAACGAGCTGCAGGCATTAATAGAGAATGAGAGAGAGCTAGCGAGTTAATAAAACTTTTATTTGCTAATTGTTTCATTGTGGCTATGTTTTAAAAGTATACTATAAAACACTTAGCAGATTGTCTACTTTGGTAGACAGCTGTTCTGGAGCTTTCGGTCTGCGTCTCCCCCCCTCCATGTCTCCTATTCATTCATTACATCCACAGAAACATCAGAGGCAACAATACTAAATACTGCAAACAGAACAAGATGACTTCATTTGACATCATATCTGAGTAGATTTTAACCATACTTTAAAAAAGTATAAATACATTTTAACTCTAAACTAAAAGGGCCTCTTACTGTGTGGTTGATCCAGCTGTCGGGGATCTCAGGTCTTCCTCTGTCTCGGAGGACGCTGTCCTTCATACTCTCGACACACGGATGCTCCCTCAGGTTCCCAAAGGGTGGCTCGTACTCTTTCACATCTGCACACGCAAACAAGAGAAGTTCAGAAAAATTAGCCTGTGACCTTAACAAACGGGTGAGCTGTTTTATTCAGGCAATACACTTTGAAAGCTGTAGTGAAAGATACTGCTCAGCTGAAAAGAGATACTAGATCAGATGGCAGTGCCCCACAGCGCACACATCAACAACACCTCTCAAAGGATTCACTGTGCGCTCTAAATTAAAACTGCAGGTTGCAAACTTTAAATAGCACTGAAGCAGCACAAACAACTAGAAGAATCCTGTGCTGCTGATAGAGGGGCCGAGGGGGAGATTTGCTGAAGAGAAACACTTATTATTATCACATTTTTACCCTTAGCGTCAAGGAGCTTAAAGTATCTCACCAACACAGCTCTGGCTTTGTGTCAGCTCTCTTACACAACAAAATCCAGGGTGCTTGTCAAAGGCAATTTACCAGTTGAGTTTACTCAGGGCAAGATTTCAAAGCACTGGCATGGAGAATATAGTCCGGAAACTGCGGGTCAAGAGTTTCCAAAGAGACGGTTTATCTTACACGAATTCATGTATCCTCGGAGTAAAACAACAAATCAAATTCCAATTTGCTTTGAAGCGTGGCGGGCTCATACAAAAGAAAACACCAGTTTCAGAGAATCCACCGAGATAAGAGAAGCCCGATGAGGCACATGACTGTGTGAAGAATGTTGAAGTGAATAATTAGCTCGAGCGGATTTTCAGTAATTAAAAGATGACCAGGAGATGAAATAGCAGTTTGAGAATCACACGGCATTCCGCAAATAACGCCTCGGCAAAGACAGAAAGAAGCCTTCAGACTGAAAACAGACACAATTTACACTTTTCTATTTTTAGTCTGCTTTAAATTAACTGTCAGTGTTGACTGTTATTGGACACAATTATCCCTCCGCCCTATATCTATATCCCTATACCTAGAAGACAGACATGTACTGCTAGAGTACATACACTACATTGTTATTGCAGTTTTCAGCTTTAACTACAAGCTTAAACTTGGCTGTCTGTGTTCTTTAATTAATTAAACATTAATCTTAACTGACTGGTATTTAGGTTGTTACAGGCTGTTTAGCTGCTTTTAATTACTCTAATGTAATGTAGAGGTATTTATTTTTATTTGGATATATGATTTATATTTCTATTGTAGTGGAACCTGTTTCTGTTGTTTATTTAGTTACAGTTTATTTTTCCTAAGCGTGCAGATGTTAAACAAAGTTAAAGCTGGACCTCGTTGCGCTCTCAGTTGCTCAAACAATACACCTACAAGACACTCACTGGTTGCGTAATGAGCTGGTGCTATAAGTATTATCTGGCTCCAAATACACACAGATTGCAAAATTGAAAGAAAGGCACAACGGAGATTTGTCCTGTGCTTTCCCATCTGTAAATCTGTTCCACAGAGTTTACATGACTGGAACAAAGCAGCGCCAGCCGGAGTCAGCGGGCTCTGGAGAAACCCGTCCAGTCACGACGACAACATGCTGTCTCTGCACATGAACTGACACGTCTTGTGTGTAGATGACTAAATATGCAGCATGAAAAAAGGGTGTGATTGGAGTAAACTACTGGAATAGTATATATTTTTTAGGATGAACCTCAGTTTTAAAAGAGAGAAATGTTACAGTACAGGAAGTTATGAACGCCACAGACAGGAATTGGAGGCTTCTGGGAGACAGACTAGTGCAATAGGAGACTCTTTTCAGAGGCTGAAACTTTTTTGGCAAGCAAAGTTGCTCTGCTTTGGTACTAAAGCTTAAACACTGCCCCACCCAACCAGCATTTAAGAGAAAAGGTGACAGCTGTTTCTTTTTTGTTTTGACAGGTCCAGGGGAGTGTATAATGTGTGCTACGCTGCAAATCCACGTTGTAAACTGTTTTGCAAACATGTTTATGTGTTCATCTCAGAACAACGGCTCCAAAATATATGAATCTGAGCACTTTGCAGTGTAAACAACAGTGTTATTCCAGGATGGGAAGATTGGCCAATCCTGTTCTAAAAAGGACAGATGGTTTTACCAGGCAAACCTTAAATTAAACTCTGAACTAGCAAAAGCTATTGAAAACACAACACAGGGTGAGGGAGGAATGCTGCGGTTTGCAAAAGTCACACACGGCATATTGACAAGATTTCTGCGAAGCAATATAACAAGTTCGGCACGGTAACAATGTGGAACTTACACTATGTCTCCTACGACAGCTGACATGTTGTGATGTGAATTTTGCAATGCAAGCACATATTTCATCCTTAATGTCTATTTTCCATGGCAGTTGTCAGGCATGCCTGTAGAAACTGTCTGGGAGTCTGCAGCCAAAAGAAATTCTGTTAAATTTAGCTACAACGGCAGACTGGGGAAACATCTCAATGAACGTCGGTTCAGGAGCTTTTTGCGATATACTGTACATTCATGCCAGTCACGTTGCCATAGTGACGAAATGCCCTCTTTCAGGGAATGACCAGGTGCTGCACCTCATTGGTTTGTCGTTCATTAACCTTTGACTTGTTTTGATTCAGATGTTAAGGTCAAACTGCAGCGAGGAGCCAAACAGGACCAAAACATAAATGAGAGAAACGAGCATAATCCATTCCAGCGTGTGAAATTTGTGTTCTGCTGCCCTTCCAAGTTAACATTTCTGTCTAATTATGCTCAACAAAGCGTAAGCACTGAAAAAAAGAACAGAAGTCCTGTCACCTAAACACATAAATAATTCAGAAAAACATATCCACACGGAGTTTCGACATGTACTTGGAAATAAATCAGTAATGTGATCACAATAACATTGTCTGTTTGTCGTAGTCTGTCTGAGTCTGCAACAAAAGCTCAACTAATCTACTCCCAGCCGCCACTGCTGGTTTTCATTAGGCCGCGGTGGCTGTGACACTTGTTTGTGCTCCTCACAGGTTGTTAAAGTCATTTGCTACAGATGTATGCATGTACAATACACGTTAGCAGAGCTTAATTTTGGACATATGGCACTGGCTTACTCTGGAGGCTTATCCTACCATTAACTGATACATGCCCTAACCTTCACCTAACCCCATTAAAGAAGACCAAAAGAAACTATTTTAGCTCATGCTGGATGCAACTTCAGTGAAACCAAATTGGGCACACACATTTTGTCCCAAATTCATCCACAATCAAGTGGTTTGAAATCCAAACTTTGTCCCCAAATGTGGATTATGGAAGACCCCACACATACACACACATCATACCATCGGGCCCTCCAGTCCTGGAGGAGTTGATGGTCTGACATCTGGAGAGCAGCTGCCCTAACCTCTTCTCCTCTCCAGTCTAGCCCAACCTCTCCCTCCAGGGACTGAAGGCATTTCTCAGTCTGCAACTCCACATTCAACACCACTCCACTATTATCCCCCTACATAGCCCCACCCGCCTGAGGAACGCCCTCACAGACTTTCCAAGCCCTAAATCTGGACCAGCTAAATTATACAGGAGAGACATTTTAGGGAACAGAGTCAGAGATAAAAAAGGCCTGAGCCTTGAATCTAGCTTTTTCTTCTCTCCCAGGTGTGTTGATCTCTGTTTCCCTCTCACTCTAACTCTTCCTCTGTCTGTATAGTCTTGGAAGATAAAGAAAGCAAAGTGATGGCTCATGGCTGGATGACTGTTGCTGTCGACAGACGGCTGTGTTCTCCTCGCCTGGCGGATCTCAGATCAGACCACGGCCCCAGGAGCTGTGACAGAGCGGCTATGTGGCTGCTTGCCACTGAGACGCAGCGCACTGATCAGACATCTGTCTTCCACAGACACACACACAGGCAGGTGGCAACAGACAAGAGAGACAAGAGGAAACCAGGGCTTCACCCCAGTCATTATAATGATGCCCTAGGATCTGTCACTCTGAATTTCTGTGTGTGCACACGTGTTTCATATTTTGTCTCAAGTGAGGTGAGTACTCAGGGTGTCATTAGTGACTCACCGATCTCCAGGGATAACTTGGCAACTTCAGCAAAAACAATAGACCAACAGCGTGAAAGCATGAAACTCTCTGTAAACACTTCAGTTTTACTCTCATGGTGCTCTCATTCCCAAATCAATACCAGATCTCTGCCAGAACACTATCTGCAAGGAGATTCTTTTTTTTGCTACCAGTGAAGCAAAACCAAATTACTGCATCTCATTTACGCAGCTTATTCTTTCCACCTTCCTCAGGGTTTATCAAGGTAGGAGGCTGGCTGTGTTTGTACAACATTTTAACCTCTCAGCATGACAACGTCTCCTTGAGTTTTGGCCTTAATGAACTACAGATTTCACCCCTCTGCTCGTCTCGGAGAGATGCCAAGTCTAGAAAAAGTAGAGGGTGGAGAGATATACAGAAAAAAACAGAAAATATTCCAGCTGCTTCCATCTATAGTCTATTATGGTCCAGGTGTGGGATGGGAACCCCTCTGCTTCCCCTCTCTCCAGTAAATCTATGCTAGCCTGTCCTCCCTATCTGTCTGTGCCGGCGTGAGTAAAGCTGGATGGCTGTCTACAGTGTTACAGTGCAGTGGGAGAGTAATTAACTGCTGCCTTACCTGCCTGAGGGTAGGAAGAAAAAGACAGACAGAGAGAGAGGGGGAGAAAAATGTAGATAAACTGAGCTGAAAGTTTTGAAGCAGAGAATGACACAGTTTCTGTGCAAAGACAGTCAGAAAAATGTGTTCAAACTGGGTCCCAACAGTGTGTCTGTTTGTGGAGATGTAAATAAATGCGCAGTAAAGGAATGAAAGACTCTGAAATGAACTCAGAAATGAATGAAATGGGTGTAGGAGAATAAGTGGGATGAATAAAGCTGTTGTCCATCAAATCCCTCAAGAGGAAATCAAGTGAACGCTAACCTTTATCCAGTGAGCCTGGATTCGTTTAGTCCGTCTCTACCAACATGTATCCTGTCTTTTCCGCTCTCATGAGACATTAGCCGCAAACATCCTCATTTAAAGGAGACATCCATTCTTACACGCTCGCTCTGAGAACAGCACATCTTGAGAACTGTGCTCTTTGCAAAACAGGAAATAGACTATTTTCTTCTCAAAGGTGTACCCGCAGGGCACATATATTCTTGCTGGTGGGAAGGAAAAGCAAGGGGGATTGTGGGTCACTCAGCCATGTTTTTTCTTGAGAGGACTCTTGGGCAGCGTAACTGTGCGATATACTTCAAGGAGGCCCCCTGGGAAGATCGGTGGGGCAAAACAGGAAAACGCCAAAGTAGAAGCGTTCATGCCCGAACCCGGCTTTCAATCACTGCTCTGACACAATGGAGACAGGAGCAGTCACAGAAACAAGCCGGACCACAGAGACACTAAAGGGAAGTGAAAAACAAACGACTGAGTGTCGACATGAAATACTGCCCTGCGGTTTGCCTTCAGATAATCAACCATTTCTATTATTTGCACATATCCTGGCCTTGTTTTTGCTACAGAATGACAAACACAAGCAACGGTGCATTAGTAAAGTGAAGGCTGATCCTTGAGACTTCTACAAGATGGATTGTGTGTTTGACAGTTTTAGATTTTGTTCCCACAGTGAGTAATGGGTCGTGGACGGCACACACATAAGTCCTGTCCGTGTCACACATCCAGTAAGTGAACTCAAGGTGGAGTCGGTCACTGCGCTCCTAATTGTTAAAGTCATCAATGTGCTGGTATTCCTTAGAGGTCAAGCGAGCTGCGGAGGCAATCTTTCTTTTTACAGTATTTCTGAGGATATTTACACAGGCCTCAAAGGGAATTTCATCAATCAGTGCTTCTATTGATTTCCTTTACACTGAACCGGCGCAGGCTAATCCCTAATTTACCAAGGAAAATGCCGTTATCTCTATTATTAACTAAAGTAAAGGTCACAAGTGCTGTTTACTGTGTGTACAGTGGGGGCACCACCAGTCAGGCAGTCAGAAATATCCCATTTAAAGCAACAAACACGACTGATCACAATAAACACTCATAAAACCTCAGGCAGCAAAGTGGAATACTGATTAAAGGAATAGTTCAACATTTTGGGAAATACGTTTAGTAGCTTTCTTGTTGAGAATTAGAGAGGAAATCCATCCCGCTCTCATGTCTGTCAAGTTATTCTTTTACAGGGGGTTATACGCTAGACTATTTTTTCAGCTGGAGGCAATGACTTTATGGCGTCTCTGCTGGCTTCCTGGCAACCTCCCGTTGAAGACATGACCCTGGGAAGCCATTGCGTCTCGCCTTAGAGGTGCTGATAACCTTTTAAATTAACCTAAAATAACCTTTCAAGACAGGCTAGCTGTTTCATTCGAGTCTTAATGCTAAGCTATGCTAAAACTATTACTAGAGTCTTTCTGCAAAATCTATAAAGGAGTTGTTGTTTTTTGTGCAAATTTTATTCATACACTTGATCTTTAAGTAATGTTTTATATCAATGAATAATTCATTTAAAGCTTAATTAATCCATCTACTTAATGTTGCTCAATCTAAAAAGGCAAAATGTTTTGATCAGGTCTCAGTGGAGGTTTTGATATCTCATGGTACGACTGCTCTACTAGGCAAATGTGATGAAATCATTTGGCATAAAAAGTGTTACAAACAGGTTAACATTTAAAAAAACCCACAAAATATGAGGTCTCAGCAGCTTCCATCAAAAGTTGCTGCATTAGCCTTCAAATTAAAATATTGATCTAACACTGCCATGAAATAATTTCTCTCACTGCGGCACAGCAGCTCTTTTACTCAATACTAAATTCTGTGATTGCGATCTACCTCCGACAGCGCAGTCGAGCCTCTGATCAAAACATTTCATCCTACAGTCGTTTGTGTCTGATTGCGTCTTACCCCCAATTGCGTTACACCTGGAGATGATCTCCCACAGTACAAGAGCCATTGAATACACATCAGCCTGTTTGAAGGATTCGATGTTTTCTAGGTTGATTCTGGACTCCAAGACCTCTGGGGCCATGTACCTGGCTGTTCCCACCTGAGAAAAACATAGAGAAAGGGATTTATATGTCATTAAAGACCATGATACCACAGATGATGTAAATGGTAAATTGATGTATAATACTGTTGTGTATGGCTTTAAGGGGAGCTGGTAATCCACACACTTAAATCACTGTTTTTAATCAATGACTACATTTTTGCCACTTAACAGGAGTTGTTTGGGTGAAAAAGCATAGCTAAGTAGACCATCTTAGCAGTAAGAGTTGTTTACCTGCATTAATCAAGTGACAGGTGGTAATTTTGCGCTGCAGTAAGATGTCATATCACATTTATCTGAATTTTAAACATGTTTGATGTATAACATAATTGGAAAAACAAAGGTAGCTCTGGGCTCAACAACACGCTGCTTGTCTTCCCATAATTACAACCTTGGACAATGTGTTCACTAGCGCTTCCTGGAAAATGCACTGAGAGCATTACAATGCATTAGGTGTGCTATGCAGCAAGGTGAGGCCTTTTCATAATGACTAATTTTCATAACAGAGTCTAATATGACTCTGGCCTATTACACCAGCGTAATGAGTCCATTAAGAATCAATCAAGCCTGTTTGTCTTGTGAATATAATAAAATGACAACCTAAGAACACTTCCAGCACTATTTCTATCTGCATTAGCCATCTGGGGCCAAGATATATAGGGTGCCAAATATTAAAAGATGGTGTCCCTGAGTGATGAGGATCAGAAATGAAAACCTCTGATTGATAGCACAGCTCTTTTTAGGGTCTAATAAATATCTTTAAAGAAATATATGACAGGACTTGGTATGGCCTGTGTCAGTGGTGCCAGCAAAAAGAGGAGAGAATTTTATTTTAATCTCAGAGGGGATCAAAAGCCAAGTAAAACCAAATAAACCCCCAAATTCAGGATTAGAAGGCTTTACCTGCCCACTGTTGGCCAGCTCATCCACAGACAGACTGTTGTCCAGGCGGAGGGCGAGGCCAAAGTCACACAGGCAGCAGGTCAGGTCGTTTTTCACAAGTATGTTGGAGCTCTTAATGTCCCTGTGTGCGATGGGCACCTTGTAGCGACCGCAAGTAGTGTGGTCACTGTGAAGGTGCGCCACTCCACTCGCTAGCGAGCCCCCCAGCACCCACAGGTCGTGCCAGTTGATAATATGGTGAATCAAGTACTCCTGGAGGTTCCCTCTTGGATGGTAGGCTGTGATCAGCCAGTACTGTCTCTGCACCTTCCTTTCCTCTGCTGTCAGGAAGTGAAGCACATTGTCATGTCTCAAGTCTGCGTCTGAGAAAATTTCTTTCTCACTCTTCCAGGAGGCGTACTCCTCATACTGGAAAATCTTAACAGCCACTGTCTCAAAGCCCTGCTCCTCGCTGACTGAGGAGCCCTGCTTAAGCTTGGCTTTGTAAACTTCTGCAAAGCGTCCTTTTCCAACCTGCACATCCAGTTCAATGGGCAGCAGCTCTGTGTTGTGGTTGAGGTTGTTGGCGTGTGTGGAGCTACTGTCTGAACCTTCGTCGTCTATCATGATGGCGCGAGCGTCACTGAAGTCCAGCGGGGGACCCCTCCTGCGCTTGGAGCTGGCTTGCCGCTGGCGGTAGACCCGATAACAGTAGAAGGAAGTGATGACGACAACAGCCACAACGAGCAGAGGCACCAGGCTCACTAAGATGACCGCCACCACCTGGGAATCCATGTCTGAGGGAACAAAAATCAAAAGGATTAAGATGATGATCATGACAATGTGCAATGTGAAGGTGTCGCTTGTACTGACAAATATAGTCAACTCTGAAGTTCTCCTTGGCTCTATAGAGCATTTTAGCATCTTTCAACACATTGTTTTGGTTTTTACGGATTTACTGTTTGGTTCATTTCTCACACATCTACCTCCTTTCCAAATGCAGCAGGCAGCTGTTTTCAGCAAAAATGCTCCAATTAACCCATTGTACACTTTAAGCAATGGGTAGATTCACTTACTTGCACAGAAGATCATGTAAAATGTTTAAAAGCTCCAGAGCAGCTACAACATGGAGATTACATTGTCAACCACATTTGTATAGTTTAAAATAGGTTTAATTAATGGGAGATTTTATTATTCTCTTGGATTTTAGTTAAGTTCTTTCTAAACACTGTATTTTTCCACTTGTGCTTCTTTTGGAACGATTATATATGTAAAACAATTTGTCGCCCACAATATAAAGAAATTAAACTCAAATTCCGCCCCTGCAGATCAGCATCTAGCTAAGAGTAAAGTCATATTCTCAGAGCAGCAGAGGAACCTGACCCATCCCTGTGGAATGTCTATAAGCATCAGAGAGCTAAAGTTAGCGTCTGGGCCACAAAGGCAAACTGCTCCAAACCCTGACCCAGTCAACCACATATTGTGTCTCTTTATAGTGCATGTCTGATTCTTATAATTTAGGACATGGTGTGTCTGGGAGCTGCTTCGGTTTTGGCAAACAGTGAAAGTTTATGCTTGTACTGTGTTTATGGTCCAGTTTTTGAAGCTGCAGCCATAAAAGGAGACCTATAAAAACAATATCACCAGACACAACATACTAAATGAGAAAACCCCAATTGGTCTGCAGTTTGACGGGTTCTAAATTTAATCATTTATACAGTATGTCGTCTTGTCTAGAGTGCCACACAACTTTCCTAAACATTTTCCATTTTAAAATGGCCAACTTTTACACACTTTCATTTTTAAATCTAGTGGAAGATCTTGGTTGTGGGGCAGTTTGAAAGCAGAAATGTGCTCACAAGACAAATAGGGAAGGCATCTTGCTGACTGCCCAGTCGAACCCTCTGGTTCCCTCTAATTTTTTTTTTTTTCTAAACAGGAAACCACATGTCTGAAATCCTCAGCATGGCCCCAGCCAGTTTGTTTTTATTTTCATAGAGTGAGAAGCTATTTCTCACAACAAACCTGTCCCTGTGCCTCCCGGACTCGCTCAGCTTTGGCCAAAACCTTCACTTAAAGTATGAAATATTGAATGTTTGGAAGAAAAGGCTCTGTGAGTGGCAAAAATTGTGAATTACAGTGAGTCATAATGTTAAAATTGAGGGATTGGGATGCTGTGCCCGGTACTCAACAGAAAGGCTGTTTTGATCCAGAAACCCAACAGTAATGTAAAAATAACACGCTCCGTCAAAATACCCAATTGGTACTGGATATAGTATTGTAATTTTTGGTGTGTAGAATTGTGTTTTTGTTATTATTATTGCATATTTGTCTAGCATCACAAGCTTTTTGTTCTCAAGTTAAATCTTAACTTAAATGTTTTTATCCTTCTTGTCATTTCCATCACTTTTTGTATGTAACACCATTAGCACATTTATCAGGGTAGCAGTGCAATGGCGTGCACAGAGGTGGATGTTACCATAGAAACTCTGAGGTATTTCATCTGGTATGTGGCAAACAACTCACTATTTCCTGTAACGGCAGCAACTGTGGACTATACAGCAGTGGTTCTACTGCCTTGTTTCTATAATGTTAAGGGAAATCTGACTGAATCTAACCCCTCGGCAAGCATTAAGAATAACTTTAAAGAAATACCCAATTTTCACGCTGATGGCCTTGTGTGCTTATGTAGGTCATATAGAGGCATCAGTATTAAATTGAGACTGTTTCATAACCAGTTAAAAACTCCTTGTCATAGAGTTAAGTAATGGCTTTGAGATGTTTCGTGCAATGTCCTGTCAGCTATGGGGAAAAAAATACTGTAAATCAGATCTCAGTCAGAAAAGTGCTTTGCATAATGGGACACTGGTCACTAGCTAGTAGAGGAAGAGGTAGAGTCACCCACATTTACTGGTACTGATGCATTGTAGTTGTTATTTCTCCTTGAGCAGCTTTATTACAACACTGTCTCATGTTAGTCACTGAGACGTTACAGGGAGACCAGACATTCTCAAGAGTACGAGAATGTATTTCCATTACGTGGTTTGTACTATGCAGATGCTTTCAATTTGGCTCTCTGTGCAGAGCCAGGTCTCGGAAATGTACCTCGGTGTTATTATTGCCTGGATGCTGTAGTCAAAATACATCTGATTCCAGGGCCAATGTTGTAACTGGAGTCTACAAGCCAATGTCTCCAAAAAGCTGTTTGTAATCATGTATCTGGAGATCATTACAGTGCACACGTGTTAGCATTCATGCATGACGCCTTACATGACAAGCTGATAGAAACTGGCATAATATTATTAGGCCATGACCATGACTATGACGTTACCATGTTATGTTGTACAAATGTAAGATCTGAAGAGTCCTATTTTTACATGCACTGTTGCTCTACTGTGAAAGAAAACTACCGACACAAGAGCGAGATAGACTTGTCGGAAATGCATTTATCTGCTTTTTTTGCGTGAGTGTTAGATGAGAAGATTAACTTAGCATAAAGGCTGTACACAGGCGGAAACAGCTAGCCTGATTTTGTTTTGGGTTTTTTTGCTGCTAGATGGATTTTGTTACTTTGTGACAGAGGCAAGCTAGCTGTTTCACATGCTCCAGTGTTTATGCTACACTAATTTAAAGGGGAACTTGGCAACTCTAGCCATTTCTTCGCTGGTTTCCACAACGAGCTCCCCCTACAGCTCTGGTACGTATATTTCAAAACACTATCGTAAAAAAAATCACTTGCGGCACCCTCCTCCCCCTCACTACCGCTGCTGATATGCATTTGTTTCCAGGCAACTGTTTTGTGTGGAGCAATGTCTACCGAGGTGGGTAATACATTCATCGTCGCTTGTTCTTATAGCCGGCGTGACTATCCGGTATTGAGGGGGGCGTGTGCGTTTATGTGGAATTGCCGTTAAGCAGTTTGCGTTTCTCGCTCGTTCTCGCTTCTCGTGATACTTCCTATTTCCAACTTAACGGGACAGTAGTCCCAAAGTTGCAAGCTTGGTTTTCCACCTGGGGACACTAGGGGGAGCAGGGACAGTCACCATTAACACCAGAACAGGCCATTTAACCATCCAAATGATTTCTAAACGGGTTTATTAAGTTGAAAAAGTTGCCAAATTCCCCTTTAAGCTAAGTGGCTGCTGGTTGTAGCTCCATATTTAATTTCTCAAAATGTTGAACTATTCCTTTAATGTCAGGAAGAGGCAGAGTTTATTGTCATTGCATGTTATGAAACATTAATAATATGGTATTTCACAATAGATGCATCTTACCAGATCACTATTATGCTATTTTAAAAAGGCACAATTGACAAAAAATACATCAGATAAAGACACTCACTAAGCTGAAGAGTGAATTGAAATAAGGGATTATTAGGTGACATAATTGTGTCTTAACTTACTGGAGTTAAAGAAGATATGCTCATTGCACTCATCCTCAGAGCAGGAACAGATGAAGAATTGTGAGCCCATGCCCTTTATTTCTTTCATCTCGCACTTGCTGTTGTTGTAATCCTCCAGGACCAAGCCATAGAGCCTCTGAGCTGGGTTGTGGCAGACTGTATCAAAGGTGATGTTGTCATCTTTCTTCCTCCTTGGAAAGATAAAGCACACATAGAAAATACTGCCATTTACTGGATTAAGTTTGTAGTCTTTGCTCACAACTATTTTGGCAATAAAGTCCCCTTTTCAGAGATCTGTATTAACATGTAACAGGGCAATGATAGCAGATCTACAGTTGTGCAAATAATGCAATTTTTCAGCTATACAGCAAAAAGCGGTAACTGTAAATGGCATATTTGTTTCTTTCAGTGGTCCACAGCCTCAGCATTATGCAAATGACTGCAATACAGAAGCACACTTACAAACAGGAAACAAGAAAAACCCTGAACCTGCACAAATATACATATTTAAATTGTGTTTCCCTGCTGTGCACCATTGTGAGAAACATTTTAAAGAGGTGCTGCTGTCCATTTTAGCTGACCTCAGCTCATAACATGCCCGTAACATTGCAAATATAATGAGAAACAGCAGCAGTGCAGCCTTAAGCTTTTAACACCAACACAAATCTGCTTCCTGCTGCTTCTCACATTCAGAGTCAGATTCAATGATGATGGGCAGTTGGAAGTTCATGTGCCATCATAATCCAGTCATCTGTCTTAACCAGAATGTTGACTGACAAAGAACTTTTAGGGGAAGGAAATGATGACCGGTCCAATTAAGGAGAATGCACTGTGCCCTCGTTTCCTCACTTCTTTGTAAATGTTGTAAGACTTAAGTACCTTAATTATTCAAGTCTAAAACCCTTTTGCATCATAACTCCTGCTTTAATTTATATAGAAATGTGGTCCAGCCATTGTGTTTTGATGAATGGAGACTTACCAGATACTGACACACACATCTTGTTTATCCGGACAGATGGATGTGATGTCACAATCCACCTTGCATCTCCCTTTACCTGCGCAGCTTGTTGCTTGCACATCACAGAACTTGCACAGCCTTTTTAGCTTCATTATACTGGCTTCTGTAAAAAAAGGAAGGAGAAAGGAGGAGAGGAGAGACAGTGAGTTTTCGCTCTTAAAACAGACTCAAGCTTGTTTCCTTATGTGCAATTGGATTAAATAAGCAACATTTGACTTCAGAATTGGCCAACACTAACTACTCAGGAATGCAGAACACTTCAATGATGATCAATAACAGGAATATTTATTAGCATGCAAAAAAAAAACTAAAATTGAATTAAAGGGTGGGAGTCTTTTGGAATTTGGCACTAAGTAGAAGCAGATATTCAACATAACCACGAAAAAATCTAAACTATTTCATCCTAGAGGGCTGGACAGATTTTTCCCCTGAACAATAAGAGCAGCGTGCAGTGGCATCCACCTCCTTTGGTCTTGTTCAGACTTGACTTTGCCGGCAGGCAGACCCATATCAGTGAGACAGACAGGATTGTGTGATGAGTGCCTGTGGGTTTGATAATCATCTAACGAGACAACTGCCAGACAGGCAAGAACAACAAACACAGGAAACACGGATGCATCTCCTCGCTGAGAAGTCTCTAATTTGTCAAGCCGATGAGTCGGCTCACCATCTTGAAAGTGTTGTGCCAACTCTGTTCATAAATATCAAAAAAAGAGGGCGACCTTATGTATCAGTGTCTATGAATGTTTGGAGGGAGACAGAAATGTGTGTACGTGTGTGTACGTGTTAGTGAATGTTTGCCTCCTTGCAGAAATCCTCCGACTGCAGTCTGCATGCATTGAGAAGCTGTTAATGATAAAAATCTGCCAGGCAGCATGCCTCTGTTTGGCGTAGAAAGGAGATATGAAGCAACAAGGAAGCTGAACAATCTCTCTGCTTTTCCTTTGCCTCAAGGGAGGACTCCCCACCACATAAAAGTACGAGTGGAAAGTGGATCTTGTGGCTTTAAGAGTTGGAAATGATCCTAAAAAAGAGGATATTCCAAATTTCCCAGGATCAATTTAGCACCAGTGGTTCAGGGAAGAAGACAGACAATCCCATGTGATTTTGTACAAGTGAACACAACTTAGACTCAAGGGGTGAAGATAAAGTTAGGCCACTTGCTGTGAGTCTATTGAGTAAACAGAGGTTGAAAAAATAAATTTCCACATGATGACAACTCCTTACAGGTCTTCAAAGGCCATGAAAACAAAAACGAAATTAAAAGTCTAACCCGAAAAAAAACAGAGGAAATTAAATAACGACACAGTGCTCCATGTGACAGGAAAACCGCACAACCGCACAACCACACTGCAACCGTACGCACACTCCATGTGCACAAGAGGTGCACCTGTTGTTTGTACCAGAAAACACAACTCGAGACCAAACCAAAAGAGAACATGGCTTAATTTCTACTTGTCTAGTTTAAAGATTACCTCCCTGAAGACGCACTGTGAACAAACGTGTGGTGTATCTGAAAGCGGTAGCAGTGACAAGAATTCATTCTAATGACCTGAAAGTGAGATGTTTTAGATCGGGAAGTGAAAGCAGACGTTTTTATGAAGAAGTTTGTTCAGTAACCATTCGCCCCTGACTTCACACCAACTTGAGGAAAAGTTACTGTGTGTATGTGTGTGCTCTTAACCCGGCACAAAAAGCCTACTGTGTTATTTAACCCAGTCTGCCCGGGTGGGGCTAGAGCTGCAGTTTGCAGCAGCAGAAATAACGTACAACCTGCACCGTGAAACAGCAGCAAATCTACAGCACTGTACTCTGATGACACCCTGCTCCTGCTGCCTCTCACAAGACACTTTTCACAAGAAGCTAACAGGATATTGCTTTCTGGCCTTGTCTTAACGGGTGAGACTCCCAAATAAAAACATCAAAATATTATACTTGAACTCCAGACTAAACTACTTGACAGAGCAATTTAAAAACTCTGCCTGCCGGGCTGGTGAGGTGTTTTGAAGTAAATCAGCTCTGAGGGGATAGTCCATGCCTGAGTGCTGGTGGTGGGAAGGTGGTTGAGCCGGAGTAATTATATCATTAGAGCAACTCCTCTGAAAGAGCATGTCATTTAAACCCAGGAGGCGGGCTATGGAAGGGATGAATGGTAGTAATTGTCACCCAGGGCTACATATAATTGCAGAGAGGGGGAAAGAGGATTAGGAGCAGCCAAAGCCACTTGGTGCCGCTGGGACTGAGTCTTGAGACAGATGAAGGTAAAGCAGGGCTGCTAGACCTGTTAGCAATGTGGCTACACATTAAAGATGGAGATAACACATTCTGAGAGGGGGGTTAAAGGCTGTGACTTCCAACAGGTGATGTCCTCTCAAGAGCCAGACACACACACACACACACACACACACACACAGTGTAAACAGACATTAATTTCAGGAAGACATGATTAGCCGTGCTAGCAAGTAAGACAAAGACTTGTTGAATATGGCTAAATAAGGTGCGCACTTGGGCAGATTCTGTTGTTTTTATCAGTTTATTTAAATTAAAAGCGTTAAAATGTTATAATGTATTACAAGCCCGTGTAAAAAAAAAAAAAAAAAAAAGCTGTGTGAAAATAATGAGTATAAGTTTATCATATTTTCCCAAAAGGAGACAATTTGTGTGACTTTGTAGCGCTCGATAACGGCTTCATGCATTCTCCTCGAACGACTGCGCAGCTGTGATAAAGGGGCAGCCGCGGCTTCCACAACTTTCCTACAAGTTTAGAGTTCAACTCACCCGCCTCCACGAGCAGAATACTACCAAAGAGTATCGCTCCACACCAAAAAGCGGAAAACCGAAGTAGCTCCATTTAGAAACGGACTATACACTCCTCTCTTTCTCATTAATTTACCGAAGAGCCTTGACTACGGGTTAATATCCAGACTCCGCGGACTTTTATCGGTCCGGCTGTAAGTCTTCACAGCTCCGGGTAGGAGGAGAAGCAGAGTAAACACACCAGGCAGGACTTGCCCTATATGACTCACAGTATGTGCACTTTTCATGAAACAGGAAATCTTCAGATGGGTTGGACAGTTTTTTTTTTTCTCGTTTTTTTTTCTCTCTCTTCTTCTTCTTTCTACTTCTCAGTCATGCTCATGTGGCTCACAAAGTCTCGAACCATGTCATTAAAACCCAGCAGAGTAAGACTTGAAATGACATGCTCTAAAATAGCTCAACCAGAGGCTTCACCTATAGCCTGCAAGTATATGCAAACACAATGATTTACTTCAAAGTAGTCACAGCTTTCAGATCTTATTTAGAGCTGTCAAACGCTTGAGCTTCTGCTCATGTTTAATTTCAATTTTGACTCACTAAACTCATTTATTGCAAGTCACTAAATTACATTCCTCTTGCTTTATGTTTTTCTGGAGAGGTTCCAGGCTCTCGGTTAATCACGGATGACATAAGAAGTGGCGAGAGTCACTCCATATCTCACAGTGTTGGTTTTTATTGAAGACACACAGAGGTTAAGTCCACTATAACACCCATAAATTACCTGACTATTGCCGGGGCTTTTGCAGACATGTGTTTTTGCTCTGCATACTCGAGGCGTGATGTCAGGTTTCAGTCCTGACCCCGTGACCCTGGAGCTTATAACTCTCCACACATTACTTCTACTCCTTCTTACACCATTGCCTCACTGAGCTTTTATAACAGCTCTTGTATTGCTTTTAGTGAGCCTGTTTTAACATACTGTCGGTGTAGTTTAGAAAAAGATGGCTCCTTAACTCCAGAACTTGCCTTAGAATTATCAGTTATCTTCAGTATCAAAGTAAACCTTTGATAGCTGGGTACATTGCAAACAGGAATTAATAATAACTAATTTGCCAAAACAAACAGGCTTAAAAACAGGCTATGTTATCTCAGTTTTGGTCTACATGTTTGGCATTTTGTTTAGCTCATTTCACTGACTGTATTTTACTTATGGCTCTGCGTGGATGTGGGCGGTTGGGCGTGTGTTTGTTTAAGCTTGTGTGTCAGGCAGCCGTTCAGCACTGTGAGATGGGGTCCAAGCCACAAGGTGGAGATCCGACAGCGCTGTAAGTCCAGGACGGCCGTTCCCCACTGACCTCAGCACATGTGGGCTCCCAGAGGGTCACAACATCCTGCTCACTGACCACAACACCCAAACAAACGCCTTTATGACTTCACTTTATCTTCACTTCATTTCAGCAGGAAACACACAACACTCCTGTGTGCCCAGAAAAGGCTTACTCTATTTATTCATGATCTTTTTTAGTGTTACTGCATGTGCCTCTTTCACTCTAACTAAAAGTTAGAGTGAAAGAGGCCCCTTCACAAGTTTCTCACTGTTCCCCCACGCCTTTGAACGTTTCCCAGCCCCCACATCATAGCACAAACACAAATTAACAAGTGGTAGGCAAACATCCTGAGTGGTATTATGCTCAATAGCAGGTGCTTTGGCGTTCCTGTAAACTGCCCTGGTCGAGTGGAAAGGTAAACAGAGCAACCTGACGACAAATCTCTGGACACAGGCCTCGAGATAACACCGCTGGCAAACAAGTGCCGCGCTGCAGCACATTACAAAGGTGCTCGGAGATGTCAGTCTCTTTGCACTTTGCTGTGGTCTCCGCAGGAAAGAAAGTGGAAACACAAGTACCGTATCTCTCCCACATTCAGGATTATATGCATATACTGTATATCTTATAAGATCTTAACCCCGCACTGAGTGCCAACTGGAGGTGTGCCACATAAGAGAGGTTGCACCGGGACATTGAATCATCAGTCAGTGCAAAGCAGAGGCACGGCAAGTATTGCAAAGATAGAAGGATGCTGAATTGCTGTTATAAACAGTGAATTTACGGCACTTAGGATAAAAAGTTCAACCGTGAATTAATTTTCTCCGGACAATAAGTCGACCATGTTTGATTTCAACCTCTCGAGAGCGTTTCTATTTTAGATTTTGTGTCAAGTTGTTCTCATTAGAAAGAAGATTGTTGTTTTAGTTTGAAGGTACATGGTGCTACACTCTTTCTACTGTATCAGATTTATTTTTTTCGGTTCATGCACTGCACACCATTTTCTTGGTAACTAAAATTATACTTGGCAGCACATTGCACAAGGGATGCAGCTTCTGCCTTTTTAAAAGTAAAGCCTGAGAAATGCTAATTCTAAAGCAGGGTTTTTTATGTTATTTATAGTGTTGCAGATTGTATTTTTAGATATCTTTTAGAAAGCTGTTGCAACGGGCCAAAGGGCCAGAAAAATATAAGATTTTGTTGTTTTTTTTCCTCAAGGAAATTGTTGATATCAGTTTTGCAGGTCTGTTTGTCTTAGCTGCACGAGGTAGGGAGCTAACAGAGGGGCTCAAACATCCAAATATGTTTGGCTTTAAAAGAGGATTAGTTTTAAGAGCAGGTGAAATCTGATAATTAATCCAGTTTTTCAGCCAGGTTAAAAGTGTATTTCATTTGTCTGTCCTTTCTCTTTACCATGTGCACTGGCATTGGATTTTAGCCATCACACATACCCATGTTTAACCAAGGATTAGATGTTAATATCTTTTGTCCACTGGCTGTAAAAGCAAGCAAACCTCTGGATAACTGCACCCACTGCCTGCCAGCCACTTGATGCTGTCTGTCTTTGTAAACCAGTTTCAATCAAGACTTTGTTACTGGATAAAATGCACAAATACAGATCATGCCAAAGGCAAAACATCATTAAACACAGCACTTGAGTCCCACAAGCTCGGGCATGTGTGTGTGCACAGCAGAGAGAATTGTAATACAACTTGCAAATTGGTTGTGAGAATAGTGGCACAAAACAATCACGTAATTTTAAGTCACCGCCTTCTTCGGTTACATTGTGCATGAGTGAGGGGCCTGCTTACGTAACTGGAATATGAAATGTTTTTCTTTCAGATTGTGGAGGCCTTTTTTCCTCATGTGCAGGGCTTGTTTTGGATGTCAGTCTGTCAGTTGAATGTGCATCAGGATGTGCCTCTTCAAGCCTTCAGATAGCACGCTCGCCCCAGGGAGTTCACATCATCCCTCACAGTATTACAGTAACACTGCACAACATAAGGTGAGAAAGGTAAGTAGTCTGTCTGTCTGTCTGTCTGTCTGTCTGTCTGTCTTAATATAGCATGCATGCAAACACGTCTGAATAATGTTAAAGCCATAGATACATGCAGAAATCCAGGCCATATATGGTAAATATAGCACTATTAAACAAACCTCAGGCTTTAAAGTTTGTTGCATGCACCTTACCACAAAGTTTGCCAAAAGAGCTAAGTATTGAGGAAATCTGACTCAACAGAGCTTGCATGGGTTTGTTTGCCACTCATACAAACACACATAACAACGCTCTTAGTGGTACAGATGCAGAGTCATACACAATAACTCCCACACTCTCACACAATGAATTGGCTCAGTTTTCTTTGTGCCATTGGTGAACCTAAGGAAGTTGCAATGGCCTGACAACAACAGCCTCTCTCTGTCTTCTCCTACCGCTGTGAACAGGCTCGGTCCCTCAGACGCTGTGAAGGAAGGGAAAGTTTATCTTAAAAGCGCCAAAGGTTACAACCTTCGGTATCAGGACACTTTTAGGGCTATTGTTCTCTGTTATACATCGATAGGTGTCCAAAACAGTGCCAAAGCTTGTTTTATAAAGAGAAAACATTGCAAGGGGGAAGCACATGTGAGCAATTGCTGTAGCAATGTGACTCCCATCTATGTGTGACAAGGAACATCCTGTTGCTTGGCGGGTTGATGTGTGAAGATGTGAGTGACAGATGTAAGGTCAGATGAGGTAGCCTACTCTTAGCTGTACATACTATGTGTTTTTATATAAGCCTTGCATAATTACCACGCTGTATAGGACACAAAACAAACTCTTAACAAATCATTTGAGCATTTTATGGGGCTGATTGTAAAATGGTAAAATCACTTGTAGAATATTTGCTATTAATTGGCATACATTGTGAAACTGAAAACAACACCTCATGCTAAACGTAGATCACAAAGCAGCAAAAAGAAGAAACAGAAAACAAAAAAGGCTAGCAAAAACAGATGGAGTAGATAAAAAACAACAACCCACATCTTCCTTCCTCTCCTGATAATGATTGAAAACTATCTTTTTCCTTCGAGCATAATGCCACACATCAACCATTTCAGTGGCTTTCACCGCAGATTCATCCGAAGTATCTAATTGCTCCAAGGGGGATCATGCTGAAGATGATAGTCATGCCATTCACCAAACCTAGATTACAGAGAACGGACTCTTTAAGCAAAGAGGGAGAAGATTTAGTTGCTCTGCCTTCAATAAAATGTTTCAATATGTCCCTAATGTGGCCGAGGATACAGTTACACACAAACCCAATCAAAGTGTCTTGTGCTGTGAGGGACTAAGTACAGTATATCAAAGAATTTCATGCATACTAAAAAGGAAACATATGTATTGCATATAATCTCTGCATTAATGAAAGCCATGTGAGTTATAATACTGCATGTTTGCAGACCTGAGAAATCATACAACAAAGCTACTTTTTGGGTGGTTTAAACAGCCCTATAACATACAAAAGGTTATTATATTTCCTTTTTACTTTTGATACTTAAAGCTGCACTTAAATTGTGAATTCACTCACTCAGAGTGTTGCAGCTTTCATTATTTTTGTTTTTCGGCCTGCTACTTAACTGTTCTGGTTCACTGTCTCTCACTATTTTCACCAGAAAAGACTGACCAACAGCAGAAAGCCAGATATTTCCCTTAGGAATTTGTGATATAAACATAGCTTAAAATATTGGACTTACATTCATCAGGTGAACACAAATACAATCTAAATGAATTGCTAACATTTCAACTAAAACTATTTTTAGCTTAATACAGTAAGTTGTGTGTCATTGACTACATTTACATGCACACAATATTACGGTTTTTGCCCTTATTCCGAAAAAGACAACATTCCTACTAAGCTGTTTACATGGTAATTGAAAATGAATAGTCCACTAATATTCCTGTTTACATGAAGCTGTGCATACTCCAACTAACCTAACTGTTAATGACACACTGAACTTCCTACGGAAGAATTTCTCTCCTTTTCAAACTTCAGTCATGTTGTCCCTGTGGTAAAAGTGGAACAGCTGGAGCTGTGCAAACACACCCTCCCTCTTTCATTTGTTCAACCACCCTCTCCAAAAAGATTGGCGTTGACATTTGCGCATATCAAAAACCATGTTGATATCCAAGTCTTTAATAATGTTTAGAAGTAGATGCGTTTCTCCTTCAAACCAGAACCTTCGTGCATGCATCTCTACTCCAGCCTTGCAAACTTTGTTTATAATGCACAGAGCTGACTGTAAACAGGCAGTGTGTCGCAAACTGTTGTAAAAACCCCAAATGAAACGCATATTCCCAATGTACTGTATACATGTCCTGAAAAACCTGAATAATATTGGCATATCCCACATTTCTTAATCTGAAAATGCTCCCATAGGAATAAGGTCTAATTAGGTATATCCAAATGGAATATGCTGTTTACATGACCCTTATCAAATGCAGAATATTGTCATAACAGGAATAATAGTGGAACATTAGTGTGCATGTAAACATACTCACTGTTGTGTTTTGCAGCTTGCTACCCGTAAGTAGCCAAAAAATGATGGCTGAACCCTTTTAGCTTCCTCAGTTTCCGGGTGCTGGTATTGTTCATGTTGGCTCACTGTTACATACTATGACATGACTTACTAGAACAGAGACATTGTTAGTGTTATTAGTAACACCTGTGCTTTTCCTGCTATGACAATTTAAAATGACTGCTGTGAAAAAGGCCTATACCTTTCCTCAGGTTGTGGTTTATATATAAGGGTACATGTTTAATACTTTTGAATTGCTTTCAACTGTCCAATAAGGTAATGCTTCTGTAGCTACTCCTGCCCCTCTACTTGGTAAATGCAAGGTCAGCCAATATCAAGCTTTAGAAGTGAGTCCACTGAAGGTTTTAATACATAAACAGCATCCGCTTACAGTTGGCTCATTGTGAGATGTAGCTTGATGATTGCAACAATGACATGCAAGAGCCCGCACTCCAAATATGTTCAGTGAGCAACCCCAGTGATCATGGTTTCCCAAGAAACCCACTTCTGATAAACATTCAACATCAGAACGTTTGAAGGGCAAGTCCTCCTTGGTCTCAGCAGCCACATGCGTATTTACAAACATCTGCAGATTCCCCTTGATGAGACCAGAGATTCTGCTGTGTACTTCCCATGGGAAAAGCTGCGCCAAGATCAGGATGAAACAACATTCCAACCAAACAAGATACTCCACAGTAAAAATGGTAGCAGACAATATATTAATGTCACACAAAGCGCCCTCTCTACCCAGAGGGGCCCTTATGAAGTTGCAGGGACTCTTGAGAGGTTGAAGCAGGGACTTAATTGGAGGACATTAAAACAACATTTTAGAGATACCATAGGCAAAGTTAGACTAATGAATCGCTTTGCTGACATTTATCCTTTTATTTAGTCAGATTGTGGGTACTGTAGTACTTTTCTGGGAAATCCCAATTAAAATTGTTCTTAAAACAAGGCTGATATGATATAGACTTTTGGCTTCTACAGGAGCACTTTGCACATCCATGGCATATGGCATCTTTAAGGATATTCACTTGATAAAATATCAGCAGAAATTATTTTAAAAATCATATAATGCATCCAGTAAAGACTGAGGCACCCTGCAGCCATACTGAGCTTATAATTATCCAACACTGATGTGGGTTTGAGTCCACATCAACCCCTCCTCACCTTTTTTTGTCACTCCACTGCATATTGTCTAATATGCACAAACATCTTTAAAATAACCAATTAAGCCAGGAAAGATCAAATGAATTGCAAGTGAACTGCGCTCATACCACTAGTCAGCACCATGCAGCTATCTTTGATCTCAGGCAAACAGATGTGTGAGCTATTAGCTAAAAACACGAGCTGTATATTGAGGGAAACCTGACAAGCCCCTGTAACACTTCCTCTGACTGCAGTGCAGAGTGGTTGGGGCCAGTGGGTACATGTTGGGTGTGCCAGCACAGGAAGCAGCGCTCATCCTGTGCCACCTTCTGCTCTTGTTCCAGGCAGGAAATACCACCATGCCCCAACACTGATAAGGACAAGGAGCTGAACCATGGCCACGTGGTAAACGATGCCAGACAATAGAGGAACCATATACTCTCTGTTTATGTGTGCGTGGGAGAGAGAAAGATAGATTGATAGAGAAATATATTAGTACATGGTCATATTATACATGCAATGTGGAAATCCTGGTAACCATTTACATTACCCCCGCCCCCTTATCTGTGTGTGTGTGTGTGTGTTGTGTGTGTATATGTATATATATATATATATGTTTAGAATGATCTAAATTGTTTTCTCCCCTGTGATTATGACATAAGAACAGGTGAAAAAATGTTTTCCTTTTTTTTCATCAGTAAAAAGTAATAGGAAAAAAAAGGAAAATAAAAATTTTGAGTTACTTTGTTTTCATCAGTGAAAACAGCCCCCTATAACAACTGAAAAGTAAATGTTTGTTGTTGTAATAGTCACAGTGTAAATAGGATTAAAAACATTCAGGTTTTCTTAAAGTTGAGTTTTAATTTGTCCATGCATATTCCTGAACCCAAGGCACATACTATATTGTGTGTTAGCAAGTTATGTAACATTACTGCCATGTCTCTATTTTGGCTAAAAATTAATTTTAATCTGTGCTTTCACTCGCCTCTCAGGGCTTCCGTAGTAATACTAGGATAGGCAATTATTAGTTTTATTGCAGAGAATTAAATGAGAAGATGTTATGATTACATTAATTATGATCAAAAACTAGCAAATCAAATTTTTTTTTAACTCAGCCAAACATCAAGGAAGCGAAAGAACACAGTAGCAGCCAAGCTAATATTACTAACTAGTCCAACAGCAAGAAGAAAGCAGTCCAAAGAGTCCAATTCTATAAATATAAGTATAATAAGCATGTAATTGATAATTAAAATTGATAATTGATAATAAAAAGTAATTTAATTAATACATATAATAAATAATTATTTTATATTTCATATTCATTACAACTATGTTATATTATATTGTAAATTTTGACAAATACATTAATATACACTTAAAATAAAAAGTGTCATTATATCTTCTTGCAACATTATAGTGTGTTATAAAGCATTTATTAAGCATTAAACATGCATATAGTGGGGATAGAATTTGTTATATTCCACTGTTAATGCACAATATATTTAGACACTTGTCCAAACGTGTTTAATACCACTAACATCAACAGCGCTCAGCCAACATGTTCATTCTCTTGGCCCAGCGAGAAATATGTCAAACATTTTGAGATTCAGTTGAAATACATTGCTGTGACGTCAATAGTCCAAATGGATTTAATTTAACGCCTCATTCCATAAGCTTTTCCTGGGCCGAAACAGTCATTTTCCCTCGCCAGTTAGTAAATTTACCGTGACTGTGAACATGCATTTATTTTCAGCCACTCCATGGAAATTGAGGCGAAGCTCAGCTCTTGTGGATGACTTTGATCATGAAAAACCTGCTCGCAATTTCTTCCTTTTGCACAAACTGTGCTTGACATAGAGTGAGATTGAATCTCTATGCGTTCCCTCATAGCCTGTGCATCAACACAGCATGCAAATGACAAGAAAATTACAGCCCTCCTCTAATAGAGCCATTGTAGGCTTTATTCAGTACATCCACTGTATTGCAATTGCATATAGTGCAGCTAATGAGGCTCAGAACAGGCTGCTGATGGAATATTGTATGATATTCTCCACTGAATACAAGCTGCACAGATTTACAGATGTCAGGCCTGAATACTGATGTCTGTGTCTGCTGAATACACTTCTTCCAGATAAAATAATTTTTCCCATTTGAACAAAGGCATCAATTTCACATTTACTCATCAGATGTAATGAAGTTCATTCTGGCTGTTGGAGCCAACCACCTCTTTTCCTTTGCCAGATCCCAGTGTGCTTATCCAAATAGAGTGACTGCCAGCTTTCTTGCTGCAAGGAATTTCCTTACAGAGCACTCCCACCACCTCTTCTGACAGCTGGATGATTTAGATATTTCAGGAAACTTTAGCGCTCAGATCAGCTACGGTGCAAATGTGAGACGCTAGAGTTTTTATTTATTTATTTATTTATTTTTGCTGGAATTTAATCACATGGTCCAATCTGAAGTATGATGTTTCTCAGATGAACATGACTCTCCCTGAGAATTTGTCAAAGTTATTAAGTTGTTCCAAGCTAAATCTAATTAGCCCAAAACAACATTTAGTAATAGTTTCTTGGTATCAAGTGTTTATATTGTTGCAGCGATTTGAAAAGGCCAGAAACAGCTCAAAACCAAAGCAAAGATGCAGTGATGAAAACGTACCTTTGTCTTGCTTTAAAATCCCATGCTTCCTGTTTAGTTTTGCATCTGGTCACATCTGTGAAAGAGGAATACAGAGGAGGGAAAGACAGTGTTAACCACATTGTAAAAAAGGGGTCTTACAGCATAATCAGCTGCTGCATGCACAATACCAGCACTGTCAGTAATGTATTAGCCTTTGTTGACATGGATAACAGAGCTAGTCTTTTCTTCGTAAAAGCTGCTCTCTCGTGTCTCTCGCCTTTAAAGATCAGAACTTTAAGTACTTTGAATGTTTCAGATGTTGAAATTTCGCTTGTTGAACAAGAAAGAGTACGCTCCTTTTAAACGCAAGATTAAGAAATCCATGGTTAGAAGATGGGGAATTCAAAGCTACCAATATCTTACATTGCATTTGCAACATTTATATGTCTCTTTCAGGCAGCAGAGCAGACCAGCTCTCAGCCATAATAGATTACCAAAGGAAGGTTTCCTTAAATGTGCTTTCAATGTGCTAAGATTAAATTCTGAGTGGGAGTAGGCAGAGCAGTCCACAGCGATCCATTCAGGACTATATATTCTGGCATAATGTGTTCTACATAAAAGCCCATTTTCTCCACAGCAGCCCATTTTCATGCAAGCTGGCCCTGTCCTAAAAATCTGCAGAGGAAATGGACCACACTGCGTCTATTTCCAGGACAGCCTCTGTGGCCCAGCCTCATTAAAATGCATTGCCGTTATGGCTCAACTTACGCCTGAAGTTGCTGCCTAAGCTCTTTGTTTTAAGTGCAGCTGCTAGGTGAGGTGAATTTTTCCTTTGCTGCGGGATGACGGTAACCTCTGCACATTGTTAGAGGCATGTGAGATGAAAAGGTTGAATGCTTCCAATCTGATAAGAGTGACAAAAAAAGGAGTGTGTACAGTTTATGTGTGTTGGTCAATCTGTTTTTATCGTGTGGAGATTTTCCGACTGACCAAACCCTGTCTGCATTATCTGACCACTGGCCAGAATACAAGAACAATGAAAGTAGTGGCTGTGTGTTGCAGGATTGTGGCATTGTACTCACAGGAAAACCGCTGTTGCTACTGCTGGCTGTTTCTGTCCCGAGGAAAGAGTGTGGTCACCTGAAATCAGCCACAAAATTACACCTCAATTTTCAATGCCCGTTTTTTTTTCAATTGGGCCTATTGTGTGCTGGACAATTTGTGGTGTGCTGGAAAAGGAAAGTTTAGCAACAAACTATGCAAAATATTTCGAAAAGAATAGCTTGCATGACTATAAATTAGAATCCCATAATTTGGAGCCAATCGGTTACACGTAAACAGATGTGGTCCTTACTGCCAGCTGGGGTTAAAACACTACACACTGCCCTACAAGAGCAAACTTAGGAGACTGTTCTGTATGATGCTACAGGTCAAAAAAAGTCAGGACCAGCACTTCCACATAAACCGTCTACAGATAAATATCTTCAAATGATAAACTCACTTCAGCAATACTTTTATTGGGGCAAGGCCTCATCTTTTAAGCCACTTTCTGAGTTTAACTGTTCAAATACTGGATGGTATTTCCGATGACATTTAGTACTGTTAGATACACAGAAAGTAAGATTCAGAGTGGTACATTTTGCCAGGCAGTGTAGGCTTCTGAAAGTGTGGAGGACAGTTACTGTTAAAGGGCTTTCGCTATGGTCACTCTCTAACAAAAAAACAATCAAAACAAATTGGGAGTTAACAGTTCTCAGAAAAGCGGGTGTGGGTGCGCTCTCAATCCACGAGCAGCTCAGTGAAGTCGACCCCGATGGTGCTATGATAATTTATAAGCCACTAGCCAGCCAAATAAAGAAGGAAATTAATGTTGTAAGCCTAATAATATGAGCCTATAATCCAAAAGGGGCCTGTATCTGTCGATTTGTGGAACTTTGGGAAATCAGCAATTTGACATTAATATCCACTTCAAAAAAGATCGGGCACAAGTGTGGAGGTGAGAGTCAAGTGCTATCTTTCAAGCTCTCCTTGTCATTTTCCTGTCTTCCCAGCAGCAGTGGCACATGAAGCCATCAGAGAGACTGTATTTATTTTAAAGTTTATAGATATACTCAAACTTATCCAGCGCTCATCTTTCATCTAATGAGGCCCCTTACTCCAGATGTTCTGACTAAAGCAGCTGCCAGCTGTATCCATCAGGCATACTGTATATAACCACTACTCTTTCCATGCCTTTCCCATCGCTCTCTTTTCTCATTCTATCTGTCGCTTTCAATTCCTCTTGAAATCCGTCTATACTTCCATGGAAAAGTGGTAAGGAATGCCCTGGCACTTTAATACAGCATCATTAGCCACAGCAGAGCCCTTTGCCTGCTCACTGCCAACTCCTGCCTGCACGTCTTAATCTTCACCACTGTGTACACTTGTTGTCCAGCTGGTGCTATGGCAACTGGGCTGCATTATGCTAGACGTTTGCTACAATATCTGGAGTTAGAGAGAGAGAGAGAGAGAGAACACACACACACACACACACACACACACACACACACACACACACACAGTTGGGCGGAAAGACAGACCAACAGGAGGAAAAGCAATAAAGAGTGAGCATTAAAATACCAGCCCAGTTCCAGAAGCAGAGCAGTGAAATACTGAAGGAAGGAAGGTGGCACTATTGCGTAGCCCTGTTGGTGTTGGCCATTGTTCTTGCTGTGATGGCTGGCTTTCAGTTCTCATCATTAGCCTTTCAACCATGGGATGTACTGCATGTCAGTAAAAAAGCCCCAGACCTGCTTACATAATGAAATATATTACAGTTAGTGCAGTTATTATAACATGGACTGGCAGATGTCCAAACATATGGAAAAAGACAACTAAACAACAAGAAACAGAAACTCCCCATCAAGCTTTAGTGGCCAACAGATGTT